AAATGAATGAATCATTATATCAATTAAGTGGTTACTAGTAAGGCTAGCAGCGTGAATAAATGAGTAGGCTGCAAGCAATGCTCAGGCATACCTGTTCATACAATCGCAACAATAATAAAGATACAATGATATAGATAAGTTGTTGTTTTACGGATGACTCAGCTCGTTAATTAGTTAACAAAATGACTTGATCGAATTAAATGTGAACGAACTAAATTGCTATAACTTCCTAGGCTCCAATGGTGTAGTGCAATAAACGTGGCGCTCAGTTAATTTTAAGTACAAATTTAGAAATATATCACGAGCCGTTTCAATGAGGCTTTCTCGATCTATTATCCAATCTACTGTGGGTGCTGCGTAGGCAACATGATTATTATTTGCTCTGCAGACGACTGTGCTAGGACAGGTAGACGCATTCTCGTTCCCTACAACTTTATGGAAGTCAAAGATTAAAACTGCACCATCATAACCACAATGAAGCCGAATACAACTGAAATACGTGATGCCGTCAATAAAATGGCTCAATGTGAGATCTATTAAGGATGATTCGCTGTCCGATTCGTACCTAGTTGCTTCTTTCACATGTTACACTAAGGCACATGTGATAACCGCATCAATTAGTTTCTTTTCGAAGGAATTTTTCAACAACTCAGTCTTCAGATTTTTCCAGCCTACCGTGGGTGCATTCAAGACTCCTAAGACTGGAAATTGAACAATTGATGACTAGGTGTTGAAACTGTCTAGCAAGACCTTATCTATCTCATAGTTGGGACTGTGGTAGATCAAATTAATCAAGAGCTATTGTCCTTTGCATTTCAGGTGGTAACCAACAAGTTTAAACGTCTCACTTTCATGAGATGTGTTATCAATAGAGGTAAATGGGATTGGATTTCAATGAATAGAGCTAGTCCTCCTCATTTACACCTCTGGGTTCTGTCGACTCTTACTAATGTGGAACTTTCAACATCAAGCTTCCTAATTTCTACAGACAGCATCAACCAAGTTTCTGTGACAAAGATTACATCCGGCTTGGTGGAGTCTATCTGCATGCCTAGCTCCAACCGCTTGTTGAACAAGCTCTGGGTATTTGTGTAACAGATCCGAAGAATATTAGAATGATTTTGTGCTACACCCACAGTGGCTTCGGCATCATTCTCCATGGAAGTCTCACCACCCAAAGATTTACAATTTTAAGGTCCTTGTCTCCAGCATCCAACCTTAGTTTCAGTTTTCTTTCAGCTTCTTGTCTTTTTATACGGTCTGCGGGAGGCAAGACCTTACGGACAAAATAATCCTGACTCCTTTATTTTATGCCCATTCTGTAGTGTTAAGTTCTTTTCATTGGGAGGTTTCAATACTACGTTTAGCAGCCCGGTTTGATTCTGCTTCAAGTCTATTTGGCTACCTAATCCTTAAACCATTAGCAAGGTGACTCCAGAGATATGCTGAAGCGTTAGTTAATTCAGTAGCTTTTTAATCAACTCAGTGCCATGCTCAAAACGAGTTCTGGGTTCCAAGCTTTTATGCTTCTTGACCTTATGAAAGACAACTGACCTGCCACTGCGGTCGGTCGTCAATTTCTCAGCTACGTATTTTTTTGGGGGAGGTTAGCTTTTCTTCAATGATATCATATCGTTTCTTATTCTGGACCTGTACCCATTCATCAACTTTAGTTGGAGTAGCAACCACAGTCGCGTCAAACACACTGTGGGATTCCGGATAATTTTCGAGGACTTGGTTGGTCAGGTTGGTTTTCCTGCTAGAAACAGATCTAACCCCGTGATTATGTTTTTAGGCGCTTTCTGCTGGTGGGCGACAAGATGAACTTCCTTTCCTGAGCTTTAATTTCGGACAGGCCTCTTTGGAGTCGGTTTTCCCTCCACTGATCCATGTAGGTCAATCGATACTGAGCTCATTTGAGGTGATTTCATATCGATTTGTGCATCATTGAGCGAGTGTTGTCTGGTGTGTGTGCTGATACTCCTTTTAGCAGCATTTGCCACTTAAGTGGCTACGGATAGCAAGCTGTCTGCGTTTGTGCAGCATTGCTGATGAAACCATATGCAACCATTTTTACTAAACCATTGGAAAGCCACAGGCGTTAGATTCGTGCAGACGTCGTTGTACCATCTTTTGTACTCGTCCTCTGGACGTTGTCAATTACTTATTTTAGACTGCTCAGCCACCAAACAGAGGTTTTCAAAAAGAAACTAGATACAATAGTGCCCAGAGGCAATAGAAACTGATGGCCAGAAAAATGGTGGAAAACTGTAAATTGTTAGTACCGAAAGAGCTTGTAGCGTGATGTCGATTTGCGGTAGACTATGAACACCGCTACAAAGAGACAAGTGCCAAATAAATCCATAAAATCTCTCGAGAGCCAAATATCAGAAGGCAGTTAATGGACCAAATCGATATATGTTTGCTGGCGATCTCGTGGTATCTAAAGAATACCGAGATCGTGCCAGGAATGAAGCTTGGTTGCAAATCGTAACAGAATTCGCGCGAGATCATAATCAAAGTGTGTATAATGGAAGAATAAAATAGCTGTCATTAGTACAATTAAACAAAGGGCACATTAAACAAGCACAGGTATAAATGCTTATAATAATAATAATTGTTTTCATTAAACCAATCGTGTTTTAGTGATAAAAGTGAGTCACTACAGGAGCCCCCCACTAGAAAGGGTTTACACTTTTGATAAGTAGCGGTTTGGTTCGTGGGACTGATCGGATGACGAGCGATTGTAGAACGAAAGAATTGGCGAAACAGGAAAGCGATCATTGATCGTAGAGTTGCCAACGAAGGTCTTTTTCGGAGAACGGTACCAGGAGTAATGTGCTGTATTTGTTGCTCAAGTTCGCATACCACCCCAGAGTGGTTTTGTATCCAGTATCTGAAGATTGTGTTCGTAGGGGTCCGGACCAGAAAACGCTGCAGACGTAGAACGAAACCACGTTGAGCCGAGGAACCAGAAGCCACCATAACGACCAAGTTCGAGACCAAGCGTATGCCAAACATTCGAAACGAAGATATCGACTGAGTACGTTGACAAGAGCGTGGGTGATCAGGCCAGCTTTTGCCAAATTTGACTGAAGTCGACGTTACCAAACAGGATTGGTCGGGGGCGTGGGCTCAGGAAACAAAAAGAAAATCAAAAAAAGAGAAGAGTGTAGCATGCGTGTAGTATAGGAGTAATCCTACACCGTATCGGTTGTTGGCTGTGCGACTAGTCGCGGAAGCGTACGGGCAACCGCACTCGGCGACCGGAACGTGAGACGGCAGTCTCGTTCGCGTCGCGTGAGCCTGCAATCTCATCCGAAGTCAAGGGCGGCGTGGTCTGCTGATCTGAACGTCAGACTGTCATCTCGACCGTAGACGGTGCAGATGACGCGTGCTATTGACTGGGATGTGAGAGTGAGGTCTCAGGTGTATCTAGCGTGGGACCTGAAGATGGTTTGAGGATCCCGCTAGTAGGTTTGGTAGGTCTAGCATTGAGTCTCAGGTTATCAGATAGGGTACTGTCATCGACGTGTGCTGGTTTGAGACAATTAATGCTGACGATCTCGACGCGGCCATGTCGATCAACCTTGAAGGTCTTTTCGTGGCGAGCGATCACGTGAAAAAGGCCTTCGTAAGGTTGTTGCAAAGGTTTGCTTACCGAATCTACTCGTATGAAAACATGTGAACAGGTAGATAACTCTCGAGGCAGAGCGACTTGTCGATGTTGTATTCGAGTTGACACCAGAGACAGCGTTCGCATGAATGCAGACAGTCGTTGGACGTTGTCTGATTTACCGAAATCAGCCCTGCTCCGCGGTGTGAAGAATTTTCCGGGCAGACGCAATGTCGTGCCGTATACCAGTTCAGAGGCTGAACATTGGATATCTTCCTTCAAGCCCGTTCTGATGTCTAAGAGAACGAGCAGTAAGGTTTCGTCCCAGTTGTCGTTTTCGTGAGCTCAAAGAGCACTTTTAAATTGGCAATGAAACCGTTCAACCTAACCATTTGATACTGGGTGGTAGACAGTAATGCGTATGCGTTCCGTATCAGGCAGCCGGGTCAGCGAGGAGAACAGTTAATGGGGGAAAATTTCTCGAATAGAGCGTGGAATCTACCGTCACGTGAATAGAAAGTGACAAGGATTCGGTACACGTACATGGGAGTCCATTATATTAATAGTGCTCTAGTTGCTATCCGTCATGTCGAGTATATTACATATTAAAAAATAATATGAAAATATACGACAGACGTGGATAGATTGACAATAGACTCACCAAATTGACTTCTTTGGGCGATTGGACCAGAGGTTTTGGCGTGTTCCAGAATTCGGCTCACCAATTGTAGCGTGGCGTCGAGTCCCAATTGACTATGAACACCACTACCAAGAAACACGTGCCAAAAAAATAAAAAGGCGGATTGGAATCAAGTTTGTTCAATTGGCGATCTTGTGGTATCGAACGAATACCAAGATCGTGCCAAGAAATGGTACAAGCGAAAGCAGGAGAAAAGAGTACGTGCGAACAGTGCAAAAAACCGCGGAAAAATGATGGAAGGTAATGGAAGCACAAAATGGCTCTGAATAGTACAGTGAAACAAAAGCACATTAAAACAAGCACTGGTACAGTTGGTTATAATAATAATTGTTTTCATTAAACCAGTCGTGTTCTCGTGATAAAAACAAGTCACTACAAGCTAATAGATACAATAGAAAAGTTGTACACATGAGTGCCGACGATAAACTACTTTGGAAACAAAAACGATACTCTTAGCGAATGCTTTAACTGAAATAAATTCAATTAAAGTGAAGACAGTTTTCTTGACATGAATTAAGAAATGAAAACTGTAAAATTAAAAATACTGCTGTGTTACTTTTAAATAGTGCGCGTAGGTTTCGTTAACCTGTGTAATCAAATTTTAGGTTTAAATGCATCATCAGCTCGCTGATCAATTGAAGAATTCTCGGTTGATTATCTTTCTGTTCTTGAAATTGATAACTCGGCACAACGCGGGGTATACAACACCAGCGTTACGTGGATCCACGCTTATGGATGACCTGCAGATTGTAAACGGCGTTGAATATGAGAGTGAAACAGATAGTTTATCAGTCGGTGAGTGTATTGACTCTGATGGATTGTTCATGAGTCATATCGAATGGGTACAAAATCAAAGGAAAAAACATTTTGAACTGCCTGAAACTGTCAATGTTATTGAATGTGAGAATCAGTGCAAGGTGTATTTAATCGGAACTGCACATTTCAGTGAAGAAAGTATTGCTGACGTCAAAAAGGTATTAATTTCTTCGATCATTATTTGTTAGGTTATGGAACAAGTACATCCTGATATCGTTATGCTGGAACTCTGTGCTAATCGAAGTCATACTTTGACAATGGACGAAGAAAATATCAAAAAGCAACTTAGGGACATTAATATAACGTCGATCATTCGAAAGGTAGGTAATGGTCAATGCCGTCATCGAAATCGTTTGAACATTTTGTAAGTTTTTATGTTACGTAACACTAAGCTGTGTACGTAGCTTAATCCGCCACCCAATACTATATATTTAGGCTTAATCTATTTTTCTCAGATTTTATCGCTTTCAATCAAGCTGTTATATACATTGCTAACCACTGTACAGCTCGGTCAACCAATAATTATTGGATTAATCCATTCTAATGGTAAATATTTGGTCGTAACTCACAGGCAGACACGGACATTGAGAATAAATGATATTCATAAGTTACTAGTAACCAATCATAGGCTCCTTCAAAGCGTCGTCCCCGTATTTTGAAGCCGCCAACCGAGCAATGCCTTGGCTAGGGATAGGGTACTGGGTAGAGATGAAAAGTCGATTGGTAAGGTATTAAATCCCTATCGGTTGGAAGAACTAAACATGTGTTACGAATGCCCAACCATGGCCCACCTCGGCAGGCCGTGTTCTCTGGTGAAGAGTTAGGTTGAGGAAAAGCTGGTGGCAGCCAAACTGAAATATGACAGTTCTTAAAGTCATTGACAAATGGGGCCATTCCATATTAATGTGTAGACTACCCGTTTGTGTTCCTTGTGATTATCTTGACCAATGATTGAAGACTTTGAATGAAACAGCTCAAAATTGCCTACAATGATGTAGGAGCGTCCATTTTTCATTTGCCTTATGATCATAATTCTCGAAATCCCTCATAATCTTTATAATTCATTAATCTACATTTTACTGAACAATATCGATGCCTAATCTTTCCTATTACCACTTACACTACTACTGTGGGATTCGCCTCAACAATTTCATCTCGGTGTGCTAATGGGGTATGGCAACTTGGACCGATGTACATACGTACCAGGTTCTGCTTTGTGGCTTACTGAGGCAGGCACATCAACATAGAATCTGTCACAGATGTGCCTAGACCCAAGTTTGTTTATCACAAAATGGAAATAACGTATTAGAAACGATAACAAGAAGAATTAAACATCGCGAATATGATTCGGAAAGTCAACATGAATAGGTGTGCACGAAAGGATACCGGTATTCCTAATCAGTGATCAGGACCCCAACCAGTTAGTTTGAATTTACCAACGTGCATTACACCCACAGTTAATGTCTCTCTTTGGACACCTAACTTTATTTGACCAAACGTGGTCAAATAATCAGTGCTCTCGGTTGTATCTACTACGACTTCTATGCAACTCAGTAGTCATAGTGTCCACTACATCGTATGTTAACTGTCTAAAACCACACGTCACAGAAAAAAAACATGGAAATTCGAATGTAAAACCCAATTGTTAACAGTTGAGTAGTTAAATCGTCAGACTTCTGCCCCTTCAGATAAGCATTGTTCTTATTGATTTCGCGTTATTAGCAAATAAAGAATGAAGAGGTTAACCTTGTATATACCAAATCTTCGTACCCATAAAAGTTTGCTGCCTGAAATGAAACCTAGAAACTAACAAAGTAACTTAACAAAGCGAATCAAATGTTAACCACCAGCCTATAAATGCCTTCAAGACGATTTGCAATAAACTGTGCATCTTTCCAAGTTGATAATATCAAAATTAATTCATCGCCACTATAGGTCTAAGTTTGAAAAGTAAGCAATTATTTAATACTTACAGTAAGAGCTCAAAGTGTCTTAATTTGAAATATCACTCTTCATATTCCCAGTTTTGAATATAGTATCAGTCCATACTTTTTCCCCCGGACTTATTCGTCATTTCTATTTGATTTTCAACCTTTTAACTTCATCATATCGTTTGCATGATTTACTTCAGCGTAAAGCAAGATTACATAATCCGATAAATTCTTGTTAGGTCCTCCATCTACATGTATGGTTTTCTCAGCGTTTTCTACACTGTTGTGACGTTTATTTATGTATTATTTAAATTTGTTTTATTTTTACCCAGCATGGTGTCAGTTCAGGCGTTTTACACTATCTCTTGCTTCGACTAAGTGGTTATTTGGTTGATACTCTTGGAATGGCACCTGGTGGAGAGTTCAGAGCCGCCGCCAAAGAGGTAAGTTAGTTATGTAGGCTTGTAACAAATTATTGTCATACATTAAACTCCCTACCTCTTAGTATTTAACACTGACATGCTTCAGTAAAATGTTTGTTACTGTGAAGTTGCCCATCTAGTGATAATCAATCATTCTAATGTGTTTATTTATACTGACCATTTTTATCATGATACACGTTTAGTGATATTTATTTACTAGGAAATTTTTTTTTGTTTTATGCCATACATTTTGTACATTTGTTTGGATGTACCGTATAGGCGATGAAGCAGCCTCACTGTCACGTTGTTCTAGGAGACCGTCCTGTAAACATTACACTTTATAGAGCTTTGGAGGCGTTGGGTCCATGGACTAAGCTCAAGTTTTTTGTTGCTCTTCTATTCAGTTTCCAACCCATTACGTAAGTAATTGCTGATAAATTTACTATGCTGTATAATTTTGTCAGTGAGTAACTTCAACACTGAGTTTTTGTTTGGATACTGAAGTTAGTTTACATATCATAAGTTATTGTACTTTCTCTCGTTAGATGTAATTGTTCTGTAAGCAGTGTTTTCCAAACTTTTCTTTCCTATTCTAGTCACTGAACACAAACGTTTCTACTAAAATGTAACAGTTCCCCGAGTTTCTAACCATTCTAGCACTCCACTATTAGGGTCAATGACTTGTAGCTCAGTTAGTGAGAACTATCCAGTTCATTTGAGAAGCATCTTGGTTTCCTTTTTCTTGTTAATTTATTTTCTACTCTATTGATCTTTATTTGTGTAATACATCTAATTTTAGTAGTGTCCCACAGTTTGCCATTACAGTAAAATTTATTCTGATACTGTAATTTCTTTCCTATTAGGAAAGAACAAATTGAGGAGATGAAAAAAACAGATTTTCTGGAAAAACTGTTAGTTTCCATGGCTGGTGAACACCCTGAACTAACAAGGATATTATTAGATGAACGAGATCAATATCTAGCTCGTTCCATTTGGGAGGCTACTGGAATGGAAGAATATTTAAAAGCACAAGCACTAAAGCCGAATTTTACTTCTGAGATACACAATCCGTCAAATATTGAAGAGTCTGTTGTGCAACACCGTAAAAATATTGATCAGTCTAATGACTATTCACCAGATGGAATTGCTCACAGTTCTGAACGAGATAATTCCTTTAATGATCCCTCTTCTCCGCACCTGAGTTGTTGTTCGCACTGGCCACCGACCAGTATACTGCCAAGAGTTGTTGTCGCTGTTGTCGGAATAGGTCATGTGGCTGGGATCCGCAAAGTCTGGTCAACAGTTGACACAATTAAAAAACATGAATTATGCGTGTAAGTGAAAATTGTGTACCCAATATTTAACAGATTAATGAATGTTCATACATTTCTTACTATGAAATAACATTACATTGCTAAAGCTTTCAACTATTGACTTTTCAGTTAAATTGTCCACCAACTTCATGTTTTATTACTCACCATTATTTTCTAAAGTATTTCATTAATATGTCTCAATTTTATACATATGGTTACTGAGGCCTAGTTGTGCTTCATTTGCTTGTAGCTGCGCTTAGATTGATGTATTTTTATTATCAAAGCCTACCACTTTTACTGATGTAATTTTCAAAACAGGTTATCACAGCTGATCTTCTTGAAACTGGCGATATTAGACCGCTGTTTTTTAGTTTAAAGCTTCCAGGATTACATCTAAAACTGATTGTTCCCGCAATAAACACCTCTATTCAAAGACAAAATCAACAGTCCACAGCTTCAAATAGTTTGCAACATAGTTGCAAATCTGTGAAGCATGCTCTATGAAAGACTTGTAAGCCGCAGGTTTATGACGATAAGTGTCTTTGAATTATTGCTGTTGTACCGTGGAACGACCGAGTAAGCTATGTTGAAGCTAGACGCAGCATACTAAGCAAAGCTGGAAAATCGGTTGATGAAGAGGTGAATCTACATAGACTGAGGCGGCTGAAAAATGTTACTATCCCGAACCACCACCATATATATTGAACTTCAATTGTGGCTAGCCTAAGAATACGTTGTACGATAGCCAAGGGCAGGGAAACTAAAGCGGATGACCAGTGCGCAAATTGATTTTAGGTTGGTCTGACCTATTCCGATAAATGTAGACGATCCGTTTGGGTTTGATTAATTTTTTCAACCAGGGATTGGAAAAGTGTAGTGACGTAACTCAGAATCGGACGCAGTAATGTAGATGCATTCACTGTTTACTTCCCTTTAAATGTCTGCTCCTTATATATATATATATATATATATATATATATATATATATATATATATATATATATATATATATATATATACAGTACTTCTGAATTGTCAGTTATTCTTTGCTTTACATCAGCTTACGATGATGAAAGTTTTGAAACATTTTCAAAATTTATGGTCTGTCAGTTCAAGTTGTTTTTAAAGCTATTTATGATGACTTTCGTTTGTTAATGAAAGTTTTTAACATGTATTACGTTCATTTATTCTTGTTTGTAGACTACTTGAACCTCCTCTTTCCTGGCGCATATTTAAGTGGTCGTTGCGAGGAGTTTTAGTTTCTTTAGTTGTTGGAGTTGTTTATGGTGCGTGTCGGTGTTCATATATTTTTGGTTCTTTTATTTATAATCGACTTTTGTAAATAATTGCTTGTAAAGCTTATGCACTAAGCCTGAACTGTGATTTAGTTTTGTTCTACTCTTGTTGTCCTTTGTATACTCTAAGATCAATATTCTGTTGTATATTTTTCTTTGGACTAGGTTTTTCCGATTCCTTTTAAACACATGTTTTCCATTTCGGCTGATCTGTTAATTATACATGTGTGTTCTAAAATGTACTCTGTTTGTACCACTTATTGATTCAGTATTTAGTTCTCACCTTGTTATAAGAAAGTTAGTCAACGATGGGTGGCTTGTAATAATCATTTGAAGGCAATTAAAAAAGCTGCTAAACCTAATTAAATATGTCCACTTTGTTCATTCATTTAGTATGTATATACAGTACGCGTAACTTTGATTTAAAGTAAATTATTCGATCGGGTAAGATTTAATCAAACGACTCATTTAAGAAAGACTAGCAAAGTTGGATGGGTGAACCTTAACAAACATCTTAATAAAAATCAAACTGATTAGATTGCTAAATGAGTTGTAAATCCTGAATATATGTCGAATGAATAGTACGTTTTCTCTTTCACGTCTGCCTTTCCTTTAGATAGTCAGTCAGTAACAACGTAGAACTTCGTACGTACGTACATCAGTTCGAGTTGCCACACCACATTAGCACAGAGATGCAGTGATCGATTCAAATTCCGTAATGCTAGATGTAGTAAAATAATAAGTTGTAATCAGAAAAACTAGGGTTTGGAGATGTTATTCAGGGAGTATAATCCAGTTAAATAAATTTGGAAAGAGGAAAAAAGGGACATGAAGAATTCAGAAGATTAGAATCTGGGAGAACACAGAGAGTGGATGCACCTGCGCCATTGCAAACGATTTTGAGCCATGTCATTCAGGGTCTCTAACCATCGGTTGCTATCATCCCACGGTCCCCAACCAGGTAGTCTGCACTTACCAACATGACTCAGTCCACTTGTCAGTGATTTCATGGATTTGTGCCATGTTTTGGTCTGGCCGCCTCTAGCTTTCTTCCAACCTACTCCTATACCACTGAACATAGCACGTCGAGGCAGTCGGTCGTTGGGCATGCATAACACGTGTCCCAGCCATCTCAACTGATGAAGTTTCACCACTTCATCAATCGACTTGCCATCCTTACTTACTACCCGTTTCCTAACAACTGTGTTACTTACTCGATGGTCCCAGGATATACGAGCAATGTTTCGAAGACACCTATGATCGAATACTAGTGACCTACGAATATCCTCTACTCTTACCGGCCACGTTTCACTGCCGTAAAGTAGGACGGAACGAACTGCGCAGTAAACACGTCCTTTGGTTGACAGACGGATATTTTGCCTACGCCATAAATGACGCAAGTTGGCAAAAGTAAGCTAGTCGAGCCTTCTGTATCCGTTCTGAGATTTCGTCACACACTAGACCACAAGGGCTGATGAGACTTCCAAGATAAGTGAAGCGGTCGACACGCTCAACTACTTCACTCCCTATCATTAGTTCGGGTGTCGATGCAACCCAATACTGAAGCAACATTTTACATTTCGAGAGAGAGAATCGCATGCCGAACATGCTCGCATTGTTGCTTAGAGTGGTCAGAAGACTGCATTTTGTCAGCGTCTTCACCAAATAAAACTATGTCATCAGCATATTCTAAGTCAACAAGTGAACCACCCGGTAGAAGTTCAACCCCTGGAAATCTAGACGAGGAAAGTGTCATCTCTAAAAGCACGTCAATGACAAAGTCAAACAAGAATGGAGAGAGTGGACAGCCCTGACGAACACCACTTGAGGTAATCAATTCTGATGACAGTTCGCTATAAACTCTCACTCTACCAGTTGTGTTTGAATAGAGAGCATTAACAAGGTCAATGTACTTCATTAGTACTCCTTTCAGTGACAAACACTGTCATAGAACCTCACGGTCAACAGAGTCGAATGCTGCCTTAAGGTCGAGAAATACCACGATAGTGGGGCTTCTGAATGTGTGTCTGTGTTCTAGAACCTGACGTAGTGTGAATATCTGGTCTATACAACCACGTCCAGGTCGAAAACCAGCCTGATTTTCCCTAGTCTGTTCTTCACGAGCTTTGGTTAGGCGTCGAAGTATTATTGAAGCTAATATTTTAGACACTTTATTTGCCAAACTGATTCCTCTGTGATTTTCACAAAAGGTTTTTTGTCCTTTCCTATAGACTGGCACAATCAGTGATTGAGACCAGTCAGATGGGATTACGTCCAGTTCCCAAATTCTACCTAAGACCTCAGTTAGTAATTCTGTCAGGTGCTAGTCGGCTTCCTTGATTCCGTAAGTTTGAAGATTCAGTAGGAGGGTGGTATTAGTAATAATGGTCTTTGTACTAGTAATTTAGTAAACGCTAAAGAACAAACTCGTAGTGTCAACTTAACTGTCATTTCCTAAACACATTTAATGATACATATGTTATGTTAGTCATGATTCATAAGGCAAAGTTAACATTGTGACGTACATGTCATGCTTTAGAACTAGTTATGTAGTTAGCTTCTCGAATATCTCATTAGAAGCTGAAGTCACTTGGTATAATTTATCCCTTGAATAGAATTACTGGTAGTTTCGAAATACTTGTTATCAAGTGGTAATAGGAATTTATGCAACCTGGGAATCGTTAGTATTTAATGAACGAATTACGTGGGATATATCATCTCATAAATTCTACTTTTGATGCAATACACCTTGCAGATTGTGTTTGTGTGGCCAGTAAATTTCACATATTCTTTTCCTAACAAGCTTTAGGGTATTAATGGTAAGATCATGCTGTGATTATGGTTTGAAAATACTCTTGAAATGATCTGAAAGTAGATCCGAGCTATTTTTCCGAAAGCTAAAATCAAATAGCAGCAAAATATACATCTTATAATCCCAGTAAAACAGACTATTACGATGACGCCCATAAGATGTGTTCCTATTTTAACACTGACAAACCTTATATTTTGTCGTAAAACAAACGTTAGTTTGAGCAACCCAGAAGACATTCATTACTATTCGCTATACAGTAGTGGACGATCGGGTAGTTTGATGATATGGTGACAGTACCTTCTCGTTGTAATAAAACTCAAGCTTGATTTAGCGTATACTAGTCTTAACTTGTAATCTAACAAATGTTCCCACAATAATGGATTAATATTCCCTTTTCTAACAACCACTAACGATGAAAGTGGATAGATAAGTACATAAATTTACTAACAAGGTTTAAAGTCATATTCAAGTCTTAAGTAAATTGTAATGACATATAAGACGATTATGAGAATACTATACAGCACCCAAGAAAACGAAACAAACATTGGACGGCGAACAACTAAAAATGGAATAGAATATATGATTGTAGGGAAGTTGAGTATAAGGCGGAACAGAGAAGCAGACAAAAACTTATTTCGTGGGGAAAGGTATCCTGGAGAGGGGTTCGAAGTACAGGATATAACAGCTAATCTATACAAAGTTATGTTGGATGGTTTGATCGTGGAGCTCTCATCGTTCTTTTGAGCGAAATCACCACAAAATTCAAGTAGACATGAAGTGTTCGAATTTCTCCATATATGACCCTCAGTTTGTCCTGTAGACCATGACATTGATTGGTTACGGTTAACCTTTGACCTGTTATCTTTTACTTCTTTACTTTGGTTGTATCTCGCAAAGAAGTAAACAACGATAGGTTTAAGGTCGACAAGAACCAATCAACATCGAGATCTACAGGACAAGCTGTGACATATGTGGATAAATTTGAACACACCACTCTTAGCTTAAGTTCGTGCTGATGAATTCGGTCAGAAGAAAGGGGAGAACTCCACGACCAAACCATCCATCCCAGAGAACAAAACTCCATCAAAATCACCTACCTGAGCTACAAATCATGATATCATAATTCTAGGTTTAAGTGTGTCACCAAATGAACTATACAGAATACGGAACAAAAAAAAATGAGTCTAGCCATAATTTAGGCTTGAATATTCATGTCTGCCTGAAATCTGAATAGGAATTATGTAGACAAGGTTAAGACAGATTTATTTTCACCATTCAGTTATTAAAATGTAAACTATCTGGATTTCACCATTCTAAGTAACCCAGTTTGAGAGATCAAAATAAGTATCAATTTCGAAAGCTGTATAGATGTAAATACTGCATATAGACGATTATTTAAGATATGTTCTAAAACACTACTCTTAAACCTTTTTGTGTGAAACATGACCGTTTGCATTTTCATTCGAACTCATTAGGTCGCTGTTCACTAGTAAGAAATTATGACTTTCAACATTGAAATCTTGTTTTTCGTGATAAACATTACAATTTAGTGATCAACTGATTATAATGATTAGAATTATTCGTTTTATTGTACAGACGAGGAATTTTTGAAATAGTATGATTTACTGTAAGTGGGACTAGATAAGCACAAATGAACGCATTATGTTTGGAATTCGTAATCAGCGGGCAGTCAGTTACAAAACAAACAATAGTTCATACAAATACTACAGTGATCTAACTCCTTAAGATGATTATCTTATCTGCAGTACATCAATAATAAAATACATTGTTGGAGACTCAATAAGTGCTGAGAAGTGTTAATTCCAACTACGTGGCCTTAATCTTTCGTCTTCATTCATCTGATGTTTACGGTGCATAAAATGAGTTTTACTAATCTGTAATCTTTTATTCCAGTTCTGTATTTGTTTGAGTGAGCCTGGGTTTTAATTATTAAAAGCGTCAACACTGATAAAGTAGATGATATGTTAATTTTGCTGGAGTTCGGTAAGGTTACTGCACTCGGGATAGACAAAGTATCTATCCAGTCTTAGCAGGACTCTCGCCTAAACTCAAAAAGCAAAAGACTTCTGAGAATTTTGCACACACTTGAGCAAATGAAAAACTGAGATGACTATATAAGAGCAAAGCATTTCGAGATAAAGGGAACATAATTTAGCTGAATAATAGATTCTTTGTCATTAAAAGCCCCACAATAAGCGAAAAAAGTTAAAGAGGTCATTGAGCTGCAAATACAATGAGCCGCATGTATAAACAAGAGGAATTCACATGACTGTCACCCAGCATTTATAAGTGAGCCTTGTGTATCAGTGGCCCAACGATTTTCTAATTATTATTAACTTTCAGTGAACCTGTTTTGAAGTTAAATCAAACTCGTCGCAAAATGAACGAAATGTTGCCAACGTCGTCAGATCTTATTCTATACTTAAATGAGCCTAATACATTCTACTCTAGAAGTTCATCTTAAGTATTTTTTGACTGTTATAATAAGGCTTCATGAAAGAAAAGCGTGTTTTACAGAGTTTTAATTCCAAGTT